ATCCTAGATCAAGTGGTTTTGCAGCCTATTTTAACCTCTTGTAGTTCTGTCTTTCTGCTGGACGGCGGGGAATGAAATCAGAAATAGCTTTTTATTTATTCGATTCAGTCTGAATATATATTATGTTAGGACTTGAATGACTTATGATAACAAACACAGTGAGCCTGTAGCACACAGACGTGCATGAGCTGAGACCATGTGGTGTTGCTGTCGTCAGGAGGTGAACTCAGTAAACTCAGAATCCATATCATCAGAGACAATATCCAATTATTTTACTGAGCAGTGCGGTTTATTTTAGAAGGAATAAAAAAAGGGGGGAAAACCAACATTGCGCATGTCACCATGGTTTCCACAGTAGTCATGCAGAAAGCAGAGGATGAATCCAGAGCTGAAGGTTACTACCATGTGGCCATTTTGCATCTCGTAGTGTGGCGTCGCTGCGCATGAACAAGCCAAATCAGATTAAAACCTTTGCTTCTTCACACACCATGATGCCGCCATAAATAAACATGAGTCGATTGTTGTTCTAGATTCGGCTATAAACACTAAGGGAAATCAAATATAGAGTGGGAGATGTTTTATTTCTGGCTCCTGTTTCTGTAGCAATTAAATAAAATGCAGTGTTAATTAACGCAAGCCTGGAAATGCATGTGCACCTGAGTTTCAGTGTTTGTATCTAAGTATCCAGCTCTTTCTCATTGGTTTAACTCATGAAATCAAAGATGTGCTATATTATCTATAAGGATCATGTTTTAGTTTTGTTGCAAACATTTTCAAATAAATCAATAAACCTGTTGTGAGAAGGTGAGGGTGGTTATTTTATCAGTCTCTAAAGTTGTATGCTAATCTTATGATTGTTTGGTTGCTAATTTTTTCTCATTAATATAATAGATAGAGGATTGAAGGAATAATTTTTCAGGAAATTCCCCACCAAATGCTTGTGTTTAGTATATCATCTTATTTCATGGGTTGACATTTAGAAAGGGCACATCAATGCTTTGATGAGCACATCTTCACAAGTTTTCTCCTCTTATCTAAAGGGAATCTGAGGGGATTTCCTCTTTTTTTTATCAGAGCTTTCATGAAATGTTTTTCTGTAACTGCTTGTCTATTATGTTTCAAGCTTGTCGGTGCTAACTCTGAACACCCTAGAGATGATTTAGCAATTTGTCTGAAACAAATATTGATCAAACATTGTAGGTTTGCCAGTTTAAATGTGATTTTGCTTAACATCATTTTTTTTTTACAAAATAGATTCTTTAGCTGGACTGTCATTAGATGTGACTCTGATGATCACCTTGTTAAAGTCATGATCCTTTTTGAAGTAGGAGACATTTTAAGGGTTCATTTGACAAGTAAAAATTGCTCATTTACCTGCTGGTCAGTAAACTTGATAATCCCATCTGGGTGCATCTGTGACATCAGGGTCTGGGATTGTGTGTCGTGGGTGGCGTGGCTTGATTTGTTTGTGTGTGTGTGTGTGTGTGCCATTTCTACGTCACTTCTGTTATACTCATTTGTTTCCAGAGAGGATACGTAGGATCCTGGAAACAACTATGAGAAGGAGACATTTAGACTGATCATCATTAGCATTCAAATAGAAGAACCTAATTCAGTCCTATTGACCAGTGATACGACCACAGCCAGTGTGTGTCTCTGTGCACCCCTTCCAAGCTCAGTGACACCCATGAGACGAGTGGTGGGTCTCAGATCTTGACTCTCTGTGGTGTATAATGCATTAGGACATCCACAACAAAGAGCTCAGAGACAATGGCTGCAGTGAATATCAAGAGAGGCATGAGCTTCACCAGTTTCACTGGTGGATGATGATGTTTATTTCACTGGGTGGCGTGTGGGGGTCGGAATCTCTAGCTTCTATCAGTGGAAAATCCCAGATGTCCAAGAGCTCCATTAGGCGTTGGAAAACTTTTCAGCTCTGTTCATTTTGATAATCTGTCCACACCAATAAAACATAATTAAGCCTCCCTTTTAACTCTCACCACAGTAAACTTCCCCCGGCTTCCAAGTATGCAGCAAACAAGCCTCTAAAAAGAGAGGGAGCGAGAGAGAGTGTGCGAGGGAGATAGGTGTTTGGAAATAGAAGGTGCAAAAATACACATGCGAGAGCAACAGACTTGGTTTTGTTGATTGGAAGAGGCGACAGTTTGTTTACTGTTTTATTGGCTTTTTCGCTGTTCGCACGGGGCGGCCTCTTTTATAGAGCGATGCGCTTAACTTCATCACTTGGCACCATTACTATTAAGAGTTATAAATAGATGTGTCACCAACAACACTGGTGCACGGGTTGTGCGAGTACAGGCACCCTCTGTCCTGTTTCATGAGGGCACACCAGTGTTCCCGTTCAGTTATTTATGAAAGGACACGTCGCTCTGGAAAACTTGAATGGCGGCATAAATAATCAAATGTCAGAGAGCATTGTGTTTGACAGGCACCTCTGTCTACCTTTCCCTCTGGGGTACAGCACATTGCAGTGCAGCTCTC